GCTAAAAGATGAAGTACAGCCACAGAGTATGAACATCCTGGCAGCCCTTTTCCTCTTGTCTGAGCAGGTGGATATTCCTATTGCTATAGAAGAAAAGAAAAGAGAGAAAAAACTTGTTCTGAAAAGTACAGATGGAATAACTACATACATTAACCAGAGCCTGCGCATATTTACAAAAGACCAAACGAAGTCTAAAACCGATTGGAAGAGGTGGTGCAAGAATATAAAAAGCCTCATTGAATTCCTTAAAAAGTATATAGACAACAAAGGGGTGAATCCAAGTACAATGGAAGGACTGCCCACTGAGCCAACTACGTATGAGCAGTTCATGACAGGAGAATTTTTGAACACGTCCCAGTTCCTTATTCAGTCGTACATATACGAGTTTATTGACACAAAAGAAAAGTATATTGAGTTTGTAAATGCTGTATATACTCTCTTGAATGACCAGATAAAAAATGAAAAGTCATACAAAAGAGTGCTGAGCAAGTGCTTTGTAAAAGAAGGTGCACGGCAAAGTAAAATCAACCATACTAAGATTATTTGTGATCTTATGGATACAATAGACAAGTATAAAATATTTCCATTCATGGATTCATCACAGCTTCCTTCCTATACACAGGTTAAAGCATATGATCGGGAAAAGGACGAGTTCATAAACGATGAAACCCGAAAATATTCTAACTGTGTAGAAGCAGCTTTGCTAGGACTAGTGTGCTGTTTAGTATATGATCCAAATAAAAAGAAGTACAATACAGACCATCTACCCGACAATAAAGAAACTAAGCCACTGAAAGACTTCTTTAAAAAGTACACTGAGCCAAGAGAAACCACTGACTATGAAATGCACGAAGATTGGTGTAGAGTGATAGCAGACTTGAAGAATGACAAGATTCTTTACTTAAAGGAGAAGACGAATGAGCTGGACAGTAGTTTGTTGAATATTCTTTATGTTGTATCGGATATAACTGGAAGCAAAGAAGAAGTAGTTAAAGAAATTAAGTACTTAGAAGAACTTCTTGCTGATAAGAATATTAATGATAAGCTTGATATAGAAGAAAGCTTGACTACAATATTCAAGGAGCTATCAAATAACAAGAATCTTGAAATAGAGTGTGACGAATTCACAGTAGGTACACGAAAAGATAATAATCTGGACTTATTTGGTGAGTTTAAGCTAATATATACTTTTAATGAGAAAAAAAATGGAATATTAGTGGAGATAACTCCTGGTCATTGTACAATAAGATTATTGGAAGACCTATTGTCTAGTGAAGAGAAAAATATTATTAAAGAAAAGCTGACTGAAATACAAAATACTTATAGTAATATAGAGAGTTACACTGCATACACAATTAGACAGTACATAAACATAGAACTTGCTAAGATGGAAAAGGAGTATGCATTGGGCCGAATTCAAGAAAGTATTAGAAATAATCATGATAATATAAATGACATTTTCCTTCACGGGATGATTCTATCTGTTGATCAAAAAGTAAACATTGTTAAATACTTCTTGGCCGTGCACGTAAATAATACTCTACCAAAAAACAATTCACTAGTTCGGTTTACCAATAATCTCATAGGAAGCACTCCATTGGACGATTCAGCAACAAGAAGAAGGATGCTGCTTTATTGCTTTCTTAATAAAGACAGCAAGAACTACTATCCAAGAATTGAGAGATGCTGGGAAGAGGTTACTACAATTACTCGATATAATTTTTATACAATAATTAATAGCATCTTACGTAATTCGGGTTATTCCATAGATGTTAAGTTAGAGTGCTTTAAAAGGTTGATGATGGTCTTGGCAAATCATAATAATAAGCATGCTATTATTACAAGTTTGTACTTAATTAATGATATAGTGGATTGTTCTAGAAAGACTAATGAACTAACTAAAACAC